TGTCACACCACAGCACTAGAAGGTGTAGAACATTTTCAATGAAGCAGACCCACATGCAGGACACAATAAAACATATTATGGCAACTGTACAAGTCATTTTAATAAAGATGACAGTTCTTTCAAAATGGACATTGCTCGCATTATTAACAACTAGCAGCAGCACAGATAGGGAAGTCAACAATTTACATAATATGGATACATACTAATGCAACACACACATTCCATTGCAAACATTATACAGTTATGATATTTACTATTACCATAAATGCACGATTTAAAAATAGGCCTCATGATCAATTTTGTAATCGTTTTTTTGGATTTTTGTTCGCATTTTTGGACACTCAGGGGAAGCAAGGAGCTGAACTGTCAACTGATAAAGATGCCAGATAGGCCTGGTTTACCCAAACGCATAGTAAGGGTATGCTGCGAGTCTGGCAGAGGCCCTATCTTTGAGATCTTCAACTTGTATCTCTGGAAGAACTTCTTTTCATCCTGAGGGAGGCTGGAGACATTGAACCTAAATGGATAATATTTTGAACCTCCATTGCTGAGGTGGCTGTGTGGAACTGTGGCTTTAATGTTGTTGGTGCCTGTTACGGTGGCAATCCCAGAACCCAGTGGTGGACACTAGCAGTAAAGGGAGCTCTCAGGCTGAAGAAGGAAGCTTTCCAAGCGTAGATAGTTTGTGGGACTTGTGAAACAGTTGACAGCACACTCTACATGCTGCATCTAAACGCAAAAAAAGTGGGAGACTGTGTGCGGGGAGGAGCGGAGCATGTGAGGTGGTAGTGTGGGTGGAATGGCAGAGCTGTTACTATGGCTGTTTGGTCTAAAAAACCAGCCCTCAACCCTGCAACCGATCTGTGTGGTGTGGTGGTCGTTGTCCTTTCACATACCCCACACTCAGGTGACGAGCCTCCGGAAGTCGGGAGTGTGGTGATAAATCTCCTTTGACCAGCTCAAAGGTATACATCACAAAGCGTAATGTGCAGTAAATGAGTAGGTGTAGTTTCAAAGTTACATGTGACAACTAGGACATGTAAAAAAAAAAAAAAACTAGAACACTTTAATTGGCTTTCATATTTCCAGTTGATCAATCCAGTACTTGTAGAAATTGTATAGTTTGCTGAGTGTGTGAAAAGCACAGATTAGATGGGCATAATAGTGGAAAATTTGTAATTGCCCATATTATATTAGTAAAAATTTAAAACCTAAATGTAATTTTTAAGTCTCCAGTCCATCAGATTCCCAGAATGCGCTGAGATCTGGGGTTGTCAAGCTACCAAGCCTGTTTTATTTTGATGATTATCCATCCTGCTTCCAAATGCTTATGTTGTACAGCAGGGCCTGGAGCCTATCCACCCTGGCCCAGATGCTCGCACACACAATGGGTAATATTAGTGATGCCATTTGGACTGCTGGAGGAAGCCCACATGACACAGAGAAAACATGCAATCTCCACAGACACACACACAGATTATGTATCTATATCCTTGTGGGGACTCCCCTACCCTGCCTTTACTTTAATCATAGTAAACGAGTAACCAAACAAAATACAAGACTTCTGACATTTTTAGTTTTTTGATTGCATTCATAGATTTTAATGAAATTCAGTTTTCCCTTTTTGGGACTGAAAAAATGTCCCCACAAGGTCAAAATAACAGGTTTCTACCTATTGTGAGAGGCATCTGTCATGACTCAGGGAGACACAGAGTGAGGAAATACGAACTGGAGTCCAGAATCAGGGAACACAGGGTTTATTAGGAAGACAATCCTAATGCAGGACATCGAAGCACATGCAACGTCAATGACTGGACTGGGGAAACATACTTAAACGTGGACTAATTAACATTAACGCACGACAGGGAACAGCACGGACACACAGAACAGGCACAAAGAGACCAACTTGGACAACAAACGACAACAAACGGGAACAAACACAGGGGGCACAAAGGGGACCAGAAGACACAGAGGGATGGGAAGCAAACACAGGGGGCGCGAAGGGTGGGGGGAAAAGGGGAGCCGGAGTGAACTCCGGCAGGCGAGGGCCGGAAGCCGCAGGGGCCGCAGGCGACTGTGAGGCTGGAGCTGAAGGGATCCTCAGCGAGCGTGAGGGAGGAGCAGAAGGGAACGTTGAAGGGGGCAAGGAGGAAGGCGGAGGGACCAACGGAGGAAGTAAGGAGGAAGATGAAGGGGACACTGGTGGAGGGGAAGAGGGAATAGCAGCTGCGGCAGGCAAAGGCGCAGCCACCACCGGCTAAGGCGTAAGCGACTGATGAGTCGGAGATGGGGGACCTGCAGGCGATCACCGAGCCGCATCCAGGGAGACCGAAGGCCAATCAGGGGGCAGGGTGCGCGGGACCTGACCCCGGCACGGGTGTCCTCTCCCCTTCTGGGAGATGGCGAGGTGGGGGCCTGGCCGGGATCTGCCATGCAGGGACGCTGGTGACATGGGAGTCTCTGGGGATGACAGGGTAATCCCCAAGGGGTCCCATTCAAGCTCCTTTTCCATCTCCACTAAGGGAGGAGGAGCAATGGTCCGACAGTCGGGGACCTCTTCGGGGACAGGGGCATGGGAGTAGAGTCCAAGGGATCTGGGATGTCCTTGGGGATGGAATCCGGAGGCAGAGCAGGAACTGGAACCATGGAGGGCGGTGCAGGAACCACAGACATAGGAAAAACAGGGGGCGAAGCAGAAACTGGATCCACGGGTGGCAGAGCAGGAACTGCCGGCACAGGAAACTCGGCGGGTGCTGCAGGAACCGCCGGCACAGGAATTGCTGGGGCCGTGACGTCGGCCACCGGGACTGGAACCGCTGGGGCTGGGGTGTCGGCTGCCGGGACTGGAACCGCTGGGGTCGGAGCACCGGGCGGTGGCGCCGCATCATCCGCCGGCGCAGGAACTGTTAGCTCAGGAGCAGTGGGGGGCGCAGCAGGAACCGCTGTTGGGGATCGTGCCTTGACAGCGGGCGTTGGTATGAATGAAGTATTTTTAATATCAGCAGTTAATCGGATGAATAATGGTGATAAGATATCCCAAAAATGCTTGTAAAATTCTGCTGGTAGTCCATCGGGTCCAGGTGATTCGTTATTAGGCATGTTTTGGAGTGCTTTGAAGAGTTCTTCAACTGTAATTGGTTGATCTAACAAGTTTGATTGTTCCATAGATAGTGAAAGGAAATGGACAGAGTTAAGAAAGTAGTCTATTTCAGATTGAGTGGGTTGAGAATACAAGTCACTGTAGAATTGTTTAAAAATGTTGTTTATATCATGAGGATCCTGGGTCGTAAAAGCCTGTGGGGTCAAGAATGGATGGGATAACTGATTTATCTTTCTTATGTTGTAGCATATTTGCTAAAAATTTTCCTACCTTATTGCTGAAGTGGAATTTGTCATATTTGAGTTGCTGGATGCAGAACTGTGTTTTCATTTGTATTATACTGTCCAATTGTCTTTGTAAATGTTTTAATTCAGTTTGTACATCATCTGAGGAATTGTGAAAAAGTTGGTTCGTCAGATGTTTGATTTTCTGTTCTAATGTATAGTCCAATTTCTGTTGCTGCTTTTTCTTGTATGAAGAATATGATATGATTATACCTCTAATGACGGTCTTACCTGTTTCCCAGAGTATAGATGGGGAGATCTCTGGAGAGTAGTTCATTTCCAGAAAGGAAGACCACTCTCTTCTAATTAATGTAGTGAAATCTTCGTCCTCTAGGAGTGACGTGTTTAGGCGCCACCTAGTAGAAGGTTTGCAGCCTGACTGAAAGGATACGGATGAAGAGACAGATGCATGGTCACTAATAACAATAACCCACAACTTTACAAATAACACACCGTAACTACAGCTGCTGATGCTGCTGTACGTGCCGTTTTATATCTACTATGCTTGTTCATTAATGTGTCAGTGCATGTTCTGACCACGCATGCTTTCTGCCTTCTTTTCCACATATCCAGATGGTGCTTGGGGTGGGCACCATCTGAGCTGGAGTCCTGCTTCAGTCCCATGGAGGGGTGACATTGTGGATGTGACCTATGAACTGTAACATCGTGGGTGCAGACTTCAATTTTCCACCCTAGACAGGCTGGTGTGGAGAACTGACTCATTGATCAACTTTGGCATTAACCTTGACCACAGTTTTTACCTTGCTTATAGCAAGCAAGCGCACTCTTTCATTTCCAATAATGTTAGCATGCCCAGGGGGGCTGGGCAGCCAGTTGACCTTGGACCCAGAGAGGTTTTTTTTTCTCCCTTCTTGTGAGTTTTTCCTTCCTCACCTCTGTTGTCATCTGGCTAGCTTTCTTGCATTTCTTTGTCTCTCTTTTTCCCTGTTTTTGTATTATTCTGTCTTAAAGATGTGGCAATGTATGACACTCATGTAAAGCACCTTGGGGCAACTCTGTTGTGAAAATAAATTGAATATTATTTATTTATTAATTAATTAACCACAAACTAAGTCTTAGTTACATACTGATCTCATGTAATTCATCATTGACATGACACAACATGAGTTGTGACGCATGTTTTATTTCAAGCAGTTACTATATTTACTATATCTATTACACCTAGACTACTGAAAGAGCTATGAAGGAACAAGTCATGAATAACACAAGTTATTCAAATTCTGATCTCATATCTGTTTATCATTAATGCATCATGGTGAATCTTCCATCCAAAGCAGTTACTATATTTGTTACTAGATATGTCAGTTATGTAAACCATTGTGAACTACAGAAGGAACTACTAAGGATCTACTGAAGGGACCGTAAAGTATTCACCTCAGCTTGTATTTTGGATTAAACTGCAGTTTAGTAAACTGATTTGACATTGTGGATTGGAAAAAAAACCATTCTGTTCCTGTTAGGGTTGAGTTAGTTCTCTGAATGGGCTTTGTTTTCTTTGAATAAACTTTAAAAAGAGGAGTTTTGCATGTGTACTCAGACTGCTGAATACAAGGCACAGAAATTGAGTAAATGCAATGTCTCTGCTCTTCAACCAGTTTCTTCTGGGCGGGCTGGACATCAATTCAGACAACAACATCTCACTGATGGATGAGGAGCTGGCATCCATGCGTCAGGGCAGGGCCTTCACAGCTCACCTCAATGACCACGTGCCGAAGACTCTCGTTGCCATGGAGAAGCTTCTGGCCTTGTCATCAACCCAGGAGAAGAGCCTGCATCCTCTACGTTTTGAGATTTTCATCCTGGGAGCAGTCTACTCCGCATACCAGATGAAGAGGCAAACAAGTGAGCAGGATCAGCAGGCTTGGGGTGGGGTCTTGGCCCGCCTAGCTAATGCTGCCCTCAGTGACCTGCGTTCTAACGCCATCTCCAATTAAATATAGTTAACACCACTTAATTCCTGTATAGCATAGAAGATCTCCAAAACTAAACTGCTTCTACTCCACTATCAGTTATGCAAATACTTCTGATGACATAGTCAGCCGTATCTATGCTGTATTCTGATGTAAAATTTAGCATCTAAAATATCTGGTATAAGATTTAGCATCTAAAACATCTAAATTATAATTTACTTTCAGCTGTTCCTATTTGCAGTTACTTTCTGTCATCTGCTCTTAACTGTAAGCTAATTATTCATTGCTTTCCATGATATTTTTTTCCCATTTCAGTGTCAATAAGGCTTTCAGAACAATTAAAATGTCATGTGTACACGATAGCTTATTTAAGCATAAATTTAAACATAATAAGCTTTAAATCTAGAATCAGCCATACAAACATTCAGAGATGATGTGTCTGGTGTGTGATAGACACATTTTTAACTATACAGGTAGTTTTTACATAATATTTATAGCATATATATTTAAATATCATCTTCTAAAATAGTTGGGAATGATGCTAGGGAGTATATACAGCATTTGCAGAGTCAGTATTTGCACAAGTGAATATCAATTATTCTCTGTAAAATGATCAGACTATCAGCATGTTTTGGTTTTAATATCAATTTATTACATTTGCAAATAACAGGCAATTTTCACTAAAGCGTACATTTTAAACATAAACTTTGGCAGTTTGAAAGTATTAGACTGTACACAAGAGGATCCATGATCCAGTGTTAAATAAAAATCTTTTATTTTCTTCTTTTGTCAGATGTGCATATACCCACGAATAACAGCATAAATGACTCAAGTATCACCAACGTATAACAAAATCCTTACGCCTGCAATTAAATGTGTTTCACATGTTACAGTGTTTACAATGAAATACTCTCTTGCATTATACAAGCCCAAATGTGTTAGCATGCAGATAATGAGCAATGCACCTGCAATACATCTAAGTTGTTCGTAGATAAAGTATTGTCTTCTAATTGTAGGCCTTGTTCATGTTATTCTAGACAATTTATATTCATTGCAGTAGGACCATATAAATGCATGTAATATTATCCTTAAGGATTCAGAACTTCCATTTAAATCTAATGTACTTGACAGGAAAACTGATGATAACCATTTAACAGTTTTTGACAATTGACAACTATATACAAAAAAATAGTATGGTACCTGGTAACTTCCAATACATTTCAAATGACGGAGAATAGTACACAAGCATCAAATGAAGACATTGTGTTATTGTCGGGTTTTGAATGAGGTGAAACACATCTAAAACCATTTGTTTTTATCTGACACAGTTATGATGTTGGTTTGATGACAAAGAGGTGATTCGGGTTCTTCAGTGCCAATATCTTTTTTAGTGTATAAAAATCAAATTCCAAAGTGACTTTAAAATCTGGGAAAATCAGCACACACTGCACATTAAACACCTTGCAGTGTATTCAAATCAAAATTCTATGTGGAATGTTGGGTGAAAATGAAAATAGCGAGGACTTTATGTATTATTCCTTTTACTCCACAGTTAGTCTTATGGATAATTCATGGGAAAATTCATTCCAGACCAAGGAAGCAGCATGACCTGTGTAGCAAAATGATAAGGACCTCGTAAGTGTAAGAAAAAGAGCAATGAAGAACTTTAAAAATAGGCATTTATGCCCAAAAAAGAGAAGAAAAAACTGAATTAACGAAGTTCAAGCAGGTTTATATCTTCTTTTCAGGCTTCCTGGTCAACTGTGGTCTGTGCCTGGGAAGCTCAGGATAGACCAGGAAGCCTGTAAAGGTTATATATTTCCCATGGTTGCTATAGGCACCGTAGCCATCATGCTGATGGCTGAAGAGCCAGATGGTATCTTCACGCTGCAGTGTTAACATCAGGCTTTGACTCTGCAGGGCCTTCTTGCCATCACTATCATTGTAGATCATCGCTTGCACCTCCAAGTGGTTCTTCATCAGTTTAACAGACATGATCTTGTGGGGTAACTTTCCAATGTTGAAAGAAAAGTAGTAGGTTCCCGGAACGCGGCAGGTGAAAATGCCACTGGAGACATTGAAGTCCTCACCAATGTTGACAAAATCAGTGTCAAAAATGATGGGTATGTGCTTGGCGATGTCCGTATCCTGACCTACGATGCTCTGAGTGCGGGCTACTGAGAAAGCTGAACGAGGGTCCTCTTCCTCATGCTCCTCATCTTCACCTTCTTCTTCTTCAGCTTTCTGAATGGTCTGATCCGATTGCATGTCATCGGCAAATCCGTGATGGTGGCCCACTTCTTTCTCATAACTGTGGATAGTATCTTGTTGTCTGGTCTTCTGATAGGGATAGGTGTCTGGGTAGATTAGGTAGCCGTTGAAGGTGGTGTAGTGACCCGTGTTGCTGTAGATGGCGTACTTGGGGTCCCCATGCAACCGGAGCCAGACTGTGTCACCAAAGTCCAGCTGCAGCATGGCACTCTGGCTCTGCACCTTCCGCTCCTCACCATAGTTCTCATCATAAATAATCACCTGCACCTCATTCTTGTTCTTCATGAGCATCACCGACAGGTCTTTGTGGGGGAACTTGCCCACCGTGAAGGAGAAGTAGTATGCACCAGGAATGCGGCAGCGAAAAATGCCAGTTTTGGGGTCAAAGTCATGGCCTATATTGACATAAGCTTTGTCAAAGGTCACCACCATCTTGGGCCCCCCTTCCATGCTGCTGGTCCGAGCCACAGAAAAGGCTGATCGCTGCTCCACTGCATTGTCTGGGGTGTGGGCTGATGCCCACTCACAGATCCCGTGACACAATAAGCCCATCAGGAAAAAAGCTGTCATTTTTTCTGCAAAAGAGAAAAATTAGGCCATTATTAAGCATCTCTTAAATGACATAAAGTAGCTACATTAATCACATTTGCAACAGGCGCACTCATCTTTTTATCTAGTAAAACAATAATATTTCTGTAACACAAACATCACTTTATGGAAAACATTATTGAACAGGGTGTAAATGATAATTAGGAATTTTCATATTTTAAGTGTTTGCCACTGACAATACATAAGCTATCGCACTGAAACAATTTAAACAACATTTAGAATTAAGCTGGCCTTAGCCTTGTACTTGTGACGAAACTGATGGAATCATCATTCTTTTGGCAATGCGTCATTGTATGACACATATTCTGTGTGTCAGGGTCCCTAATAATTTAATAAACTAAACTTTTTTAGTTTATTCTGATCTCATCCACTGTCCACGATTGGCTGACATTACATGATGCCACACAATTGGTCAACACGGATAATTATGCAGTTTCTGGCATGCTTTGCACCGCACCAATCTATAAAAATGGTAAATTAATATGTGTATTCTTGCATTGCCATGGAATGCATGTCTTTCGTTAGTATAATTTACAGTGTCATGTAAATTTTTGGCTTCCCTGTCTGTGTGGCTGCTAGTGTTAAACTAATAGAGGCTGTTAATGAAGAGGGTAATTTTCATTTTAAAATGACTCATGCACTCGCCACAATATGTTTATTTTTGCACTGTATCTGGGTTTGCTGCATGGAAAACATTCTGCGCCCTCTAGGGTTGTGCCATGACACAGAACGAACAACGTGGCAGATTTGTTTTAAGTATGTGGCGGTTTGTTCTCTCCAGTGTGTTTGATTTCTTCTTGTCCAGACATTGTTTGAAGTATATGGCCAACTTTATGGTTTTTAATCAGACAGACACTATGGGATTACAGTCCATGTCACTCATTGGCTGATACTGACTTTGCAGTGTCATAATTGCATAATAGGAATCCATTAAAAGAAGAGACAGAACTATCATACACAGGCTCTCTCCTTGCCGCGGGTAACACTACGATTGAATGGATATGGGGGGAGGAACACAATCTCATCAGGTAACTGAGATGCTTTCTGTCATTGGTTGCGTTTTTTATTTTTAGGAGACCTCCTGAGAGTGCATGACCTGTTTCTCTCATAATGTATCTCAGGAGAAGGCATCTAAGATTGTCTGCCAACCATGGCAGAAAGCAGCTAAGGGTCAAAGTAATGCCATGCCCTGTTGATGGTTCCAGTTCCTAACAGCTTGACATGGCTTTTAGAGGTCTGAGAAACCAAATGGTGTCAGTGTTATGGTCAGGGTCAATTTTATACAATTAGAATATTCATGTAGAATGTGTTTTATAGCATAATGTCAGTGTTTGAGCTTTGAAATCAGTGTCAAAGTGAATTATTTGAGATTACCGGGCTAACAAGCTAACTAGTCTGACTGGACAATGGGGAAGTGAAAGGTTGGATATTCATATAGTGACTTGCAGCAGTACTGAAGCGCTTTGAACTTGATATTTGAATCACACATGGCATTCTTCTTAGTAAATAAAAAGAACAGTGTTGTAAATATCATGGTACAGAGCTGGGAAGACAGGTGTACAAAAGGAAAGAATGTACTGGGCTCTGACAAGGTCACAGCATGGCAAGCTTGCTGTTTGCACATGTAAACATGTAACATAAAGTCAAGGCTATAGTCAAGGAGTCAACACTGGAGGGACCAAAGCCATAATTATAATATATATTGGGGGTGGGACATTGTGAGCACATTTGACGTCCCCCCCCCCAATATATATATTATAATTACGGCCTTGCATAAAGTGACACTGAAAAATAGAAAAAAAAAAACTTTGTCACGCTTACAGGACTGCTATAATTGAATAATATAATGAAGCAGTATTCAAGAATTCAGAGAAGGATGGAATACACTATAACACTGTAGCATTAATAGCAATTCACCAAACATTGTCATTTTGTACATTCCTTTGATACTTAAACAAAATTTAAAGCAATACCTGTTTTGCAAGGTCACTGTACCAGCTAGTATTTCTCGTCATTAGTTAAAATGAGAAAAACAAAAATGAAGTGTACAAAATTTTGCAACTTGAAATCAAAGTAAGGGGAAAATAGCTAATGTTTGTTTTGAGAAGGTTCACGGAATACTGTGAGGATTAACAGCTCAGTAGTCAGCGTAGACTTAGTAGTGCAAGAACAGTGTCCATTCTGAGATTCTGAACAAACATCAAGATCAAGAATATAGACTGTTAAGGATTGCGTCAGGGTAAGCACAACAGACACTGTGAAGTCAGTTAAACAGGGGTTTATTCAGGGAAATCACAAAAACACAGGACAGAAACACAAGGATGAACATCAATGACCAGACTGGGGTAAGACAGACTCAGAAGCACTGAATACACAGACACAACAACTAGACACAGCTGAGAACACTGGGATTCCACACGAGGTAACAAGGGGAAGTGGCACACGGGAGGATCGGACGAGCAGGCCATGACAGAACCCCAACCCCCCCCCAAGGTGCACACACCGGGCGCACCTAAAGGAACGGGAGGGAACATAACCGGGGACAGCACAGGACAGGACCTGGGGGAACAAAAGCAAGAATGTTAACGCACCACAGGAAACAGGACCCACACGCAGAACAAGGACAAAGACACCAACCAGGATAACAGACAAACCACAGAGAACACAGAAAGCCGGAGGGGACAATGAAGGGGAAGAGGAGGAAGGTGGAGTGACTACAGGAGGAGGTGAGGAGGGAGGCGAAGGGGACACTGGAGGAGGTGAGGAGGGAGCAAAAGCCGTGGCAGGTGAAGGCGCAGCCACAGCTGGAGAACCAGGGGGCTGGGTGGGTGGGACTTGAATCCGGCACAGGTGTCCTCTTCCTCTCTGGTAGACTGAGAGACGGGGACCCGGCCGAGATCT